TGAATGTTGATTGTGAGTGCAAGCAGCTCAAAAGTAGCTCAAAATACCAGCAGAGAGGGAAGGAGTCTTCACATCAAGTATCAATTAGACAACTTCAATCTTTTCTCCATTTATCATGTTAATATTTATTGGACCAGATAGGAGGTTTTTTGTTTTCTATACATTGAGATACAATTCATGATGAAAGCTGTAGTCTTTAATCTTCCTCAGTAAATATTTTAAGTCCTCTCAACTTTCAGCAAGCAAGGTTGTATCATCTGCACATTGCAGATTGTTAATAAGTCTTTCTCCAATCCTGATGTTACATTCTTCTTCATATAACACAGTTTCTCAGATTATTTGCTCAGCATACGATTGAATAAATATAGTAAAAGGATACAACATTGGCGCACACAATTCCTGGTTGAAAAAACATTCTGTGTCCGTTTGTTCTGTTTGAACAATTGCCTCTTGGTGTATGTCCAGGTCCCTCATGAGTACAATTAAGTGTTCTGGAATACCCATTCTTTACAATGTTGTCCATTTTTTGTCATGATCCACACAGTTGAAAGCCTTTGCATAGTCAATAAAGCAAAGGAAGGGTCTGAAAGTTTTAACCCATTCATACCGTTGTGGTCATCTCTGCTTTCAGGAGACAGCTCTTCCCCAGTCATATTTTGATTGACAGCCTCATCTTCCAGCTATATTTCTGACAGTGTTCTGTTACTATTAATAACGTTTTCATCTTCTGGTACTGAATATTTGACACTATTCTGTTGTTATTCATAATGGTTCAGTGGCTAACCATTCCTTCTTCCTAGTCTGTGTTTGTCTGGACGCTCCACTGCAACTTTTCCACCATGGGTTACGCTGTTGATGTTTCAAATACTGATGGCATATCATCCAGTATTGCAGTAACATGCAAGTAACACTATCAGCTGCTCTGCAAGAGAAAGATGAGGCTTTCTGCTCCCGTAAAGATTTATAGCCTCGGAAACCCTGTACAAGGTCGCTATGAGTCACAACCAACTCCACAGCACGGAACCATTACCATCTTAGAAAATAGGAGGAACATTAGTGTTGGGTCTCTGGATTCTTGATTCTGCGTCTGGCCTCCAGAGGGCGATGGTGCACAACTTAGAAATTGTGTTTCTACTGAAGATCGGCCTCATTGGCCCAGCCTTTCTTTCCTACAACCGATTGAAGAACTTTCACTGAATTCTTTGCTTGCAAGGACAGTTTACAAGATCAGTGGTCGGAACTCATAAGCTCACCTAAGAAGTTTTGGCATTTTTATCTAAGCAAAAAACTTGTCTAGCTTAAACTTCCCCACAATCCTTTTTTTGAGCTTATATTCTGCAGCCACTTTCCTGCCTGCTCAAGGAAGATCTTCCAGAAAAGAGCTTTTTTGTTTCCACTGCTTAGCTATGCTTCTGCTACCCATCTTAGTATTTGGGGTGATTTTTGCTCTGAGTGAGTAAAATTTCATTATGGTTTCTTGTTTCACAGTGGAGTCTGCAATGCTGTCATTAATATAAAACTGATTTTGCAGGAGAAGCCAGAGCGCAGTCGGTGACCCAGCCTGATGTCCGAGTCTCTGTCACTGAAGGATTGCCACTGGAGTTGAAGTGCAACTATTCCTATAGTACAACTCCTTCTCTCTTCTGGTATGTCAAGCACCCCAACGAAGGTCTTCAGCTGCTCCTCAAGTACTATTCAGGGAACACCCTGGTTAAAGGCAACAAAGATTTTGAGGCTGAATTAAAAAAAAGTGAATCTTCCTTCAACCTGAGGAAACACTCTGCTCATTGGGATGACTCAGCTGAGTACTTCTGTGCTGTGAGTGACACAGTGCTTGAGACTGCAGGGGGAGCTGAACACAAACTTCCTGAGACAGCAGGGAGGCTTAGTCCACAAAAGGACCTTGTCTTAGTCCAGGAAATAACTACATCTTTAAGATTTTGAGTTCTGACACAGTCGGGGCCATGTCCAGAGAGTTGTGGAGCCAGTATGGAACTGGGAAACTTTAAATGGTTGGATATAAGTATTGTCACATGGCACAGAAGAGTTTTATTTTTCCTTCACCATTTTATATTTAAATAATCCAAATAAAATTGAGCTCCTTTTGTAGGTTTTTCTCCTCCTTGCAAGTATACTGTCTTTCCAACTTTGTAATTTTAAATGATTTTTCTGTATTCTTTCTTCAGAGTTCTACAATGTGCTTGTATTTTCCCTAAATTTAGATGCCCCATTTAGAAGGGAGGAGATTCTTGGCATGGTGAATGACTTAGAACATGGAATATTCATGTCGGTGTTAATAATTTGTTAAAAATATTTCAGAAGGAGGAACGAATGATTCAATTTCCTTCTTATTTCTTTAAGGAATAAGGACAGGCCCTAAATCTAGATTCCAATTTCCTATGTTTTTGAGATAATGCTTGCTTTATTTTTCCCAGTGATAAAAATTGTTTTTGTTGTAAAGTGCTGTAGATTTGGTTCCAATTCATCCAAGAAGCATTCTGGCTGTACTTCCAACACAGATCTATTTGTTGCTTTGGCAGTTAATGGTACTTTTAATATTCTGCTGCAACACCACAACTCAAATGTATCAAATTTTCTACAGTCTTCCTGATTCACTGTCTAACTTTCACAAGCATATGAAGTTATTGAAAATACCATGGTTTGGATCAGGAGTAGCTTAGGCCTCAAACTGTCATCTTTGCTCTTCAACACTTTAAAGAGGTCTTGTGCAGCAGATTTGCCCAATGCAATTTATCATTTGATTTCTTGACTGCTACTTCCATGAGTGTTGTTTATTGATTGGAACAAAATGAAGTCTTTAAGAACTTCAATCTTTTCTCCATTTATATGGATGTTGTTTACTAGCCCAGTGGTGAGGATTTTTCTTTTCTTTACATTGAAATGCAATCCATAAAGAAGGCTGTGGTCTTGGATCTTCATCAATAAGTATTTTAAGTCCTCTTTGTTTCCAGTAAGCAAGGTTGTGTCATCTGCATATTGCAGTTTGTTAGTGAGTCTTCCTCCAATCCTGGTGTTATGTTTTCCTTCATAAATCCAGTTTCTCAGATTATTTGTTCAAGGAGCTCTGGTAGCGTAGTGGTTACAAATCGGGCTGCGAACCTTAAGGTCAGCGGCTCGAAACTACCAGCCGCTCCGCGGGAGAAAGATGAGGCTTTCTTCTCCCGTAAAGATTTACACCCTCGGAAACCCTGTACAGGGTCGCTATGGGTCGGACCCGACTCGATGGCACTTAACAACAACAACAACATACATATTGAATAAGTATGGTGAAAGAATACAACCCTAGGGCACACTTTTCTTAATTTTAAACAATTAATTGTGCTGTTTGAATAACTGCTGCCTCTTGGTGTATGTACAGGTTCCTCATGAGCACAATAATTGTTCAGGAATATTCATTCTCTGCAATGTGGTCCATAGCTTGTCATAATCCATACAATCAAAAGCCCTTGTGTAGTCAATAAAGTACAGGTAAACATCTTTCTGGTATTCTCTACTTTCAGCCAAGATCCATCTGACATCAGCAATGATATCCCTCATTCCACGTCCTTGTCTGAAGTTGGTTTGAACCTCTGGCAGTTCTCTGTCAATGTATGTTGATTTTGGATTATCTTTAGCAAAATTTTGCTTGTATGAGATATTAATGATATTGTCCAGTGACTTCTGCATTCCATTGAGTCACCTCTCTGTGGAATGGGTACAAAATGTAACTCTTCCTTTTAAGTGGACAAGTAACTGTCTTCCAAATTTTCTGGCATAGACTAGTGAGTGCCACCAGTGTTGTATCAGTTGAAAGATTTCAATTTGTATTCCATCAGTTCCTGGTGCTTTGTTCTTTGCCAATGCCTTCAATGCACCTTGGACTTCTTCCTTCAGTACCACTGGCTCTTGATCATGTTACCTCTTGAAATGGTTGAACATTGACCATTTGTTTTGGGTACAGTGACTCTGAGTATTCCTTTCATCTTCTTTTGATGCTTTCTACATCATTCAATATATTACCCATAGAATCCTCCAACATTGCAATTGAGGCTTGAATTATTTCTTCAGTTCCCTCAACTGAAATGCTGGTCATATTCTTCCCTGTCGACTTTGCACATTTCTTTATAATTTTGATTTTGTCTTCTCAGGCTACCCTTTGGATTTTTCTATTCAGCTCGTTTACCTCCTCATTTCTTCAATTTGCTTTAGCATCTCTACTCTGGAGAGTCTCTTCCAGTATCCATTTTGTTCTTTTCCTTCTTTCTTGTCTTCTCAAGTACCTTTTGCTTTCTTCCTGTATAATGTGCTTGATGTCATCCCACAACTCTTCTGGTCTTCAGTTATTAGTGTCTAATGCGTCAAATCTGTTCTTAAGATGTTCTCTAAATTCAGGTGGTATATGTTCAAGGTCATATTTTGGGTCTTGTGGACTTGTTTTAATTTTCTTCAGCTTCAGCCTGAACTTGTATATGAGCAATTGATGGTCTGTTCCACAGTTTATCCCTGACCTTGCTTTAGCAGATGATATGGAGGTTTTCCATCACCCCTTTCTACAGATGTAATCAGTTTGGTTTCTGTCTATGCCATTTGGTGAGGTCCATGTGTATAGTAATCTTTTATGTTGTATTTGCAATGAAGAAATCATTGCTCTTGCAAAATTTTAGTATGTTATCTCTAGCATAATTCCTATTGCCAAAATCCATAGTTTTCAACTACTGATCCTTCCTCTTTGGTTTCAACCTTTGCATTCCAGTTGCTGGTAATTTTCAATATATTTTGATTGCATGTTTTAAAATTTTTCATATTGAAGAAGTTGGTAGAATTTCTTCAATTTCACTACCACTGACTTTGGTGGTTGGTGCATAAATTTGAATAATAGTGGCATTAATTGACCTTCCTTTTAGGCATATGGATATTATCTGATCACAGACAGTACTTCAAGACAGATCATGATATATTCTTTTTGAAGATGAATGTGATTTCATTCTTCAATTTGTTACTACCAGCATAGTAAACCATGTGGTTTCAGATTCAAAATGGCCAATACCAGTCCACTCCAGCTCACTAATGTCTAGGATATCGATGCTAATGCATTACATTTAATTTTTGACAATTTACAACTTTCCTAGATTCATACTTTGTATAATCTTTATTCTGATTATTAATGGATGTTCTTAGTTGTTACTGTTCATTTTGAGTTGTATTCCATCAGCAAATGAATGTCCTGAAGTCTTTACTACATTGCATTGCCACAGTCGACTCTTCTTTGCCAAGGCAGCTCTTCCCCAGCTGTATTTTGAGTGCCTTCCGACCTGAGGGGCTCATTTTCCGCACTGTATCTGACAATATTCTGGTGTTCTTAATTATGTTTTGATAGTCAATATTCTAGTGCTGACAGTGTCCCATTGCTATTCATAAGTATCACAGTGACTAAATATTTGGAAGTAGTACATCTCTCTTTCTTCCTAGTCTGTCTTAGTCTGTAAGCTCAGCTGAATTCTGTCCATGGTGAATGATCCTGCTGGTATTTAAAACACCTGTGGCATAGCTTCCAGAATCACAGCAGCACGTAAGCCACCACAGTATGACAAATTGACAGACTTGGTCACCATGGAAATGTATTCATTAAGAAAAAAGTATTTAGCTTCTGTGAAATTTCTAATTGTTGAGAGCATGTTCTTTTTTTTTTTTTTCTTCAATTTATTTCATGCATGGAGACTCTTATTCCTCCAATTAGCAAACTGTTTAATAAATCATTAAACAGTGAAATGTTATATTAAGTCTTTGAGCTAATTCTAGGGCTTTTAAAAATTGTTGCTTACCAATTATATCTAGGCTTCTTTGAGCCATTTGTTTTTAGAAACAGAATGATCTTCCTGTATATAGAAAGAATGCTCAGAATAAATCTTATGCTTTAATATCTTTGTTTTTATCCTCTTTAACACTTATAATTCCAAACTTGAATGACTTGGCAAGAAGAACCCCAAACTATTGGGGTTTCTATTCTCACACCTTCAACCATATTGTTTTTATTGTTGTTAAGTGTCATCCAGTCTGTTACAACCCATAGCGACCCTGTGTAGGGTTTCTGAGGAGTGGCTGGTAAGTTTGAACCACTGACCTTTTGCTTCAGACCAACCTTGCAGTTCAGTGCTTATCCTACATCTCCACATCAGGACTCCATGATCATATTATAATTGTGAAAAACCTTAGACACTACAAAAATACATTAACAAGGTCAGAGAAATACCTAATTATTTGAACACAGATATGTTATGTAATATGAACAAGTTATAATATAAAGTTAATATTATATGATCCATATATCTGGTATTAATAATGTGAAGTTACATACAAATGCAAAACATCAGAGTCTTTTAAAAAAATAAACACCACAGATAAACTTGCTACCTCTTTCATTTTTCTCCTCTGTCCATTTTTGTTGTTGCATGACCCTGAATCACATCCCAGCTACCTCATAACCTGGTGCAACTACCTTGTAACCTGGTGGTCAAAGCCCCACAACAATTCTACAAGCTTTTAAAACCTGCAATTGCATACACATCTCAGTCATGGGTCTTTTTTGCTTTGTAGTCCTGCTTGCAATAGCAATGAATTGATCTGTTGCCAATCATGATTTTGTGATGATTTCCTTTGGTTTCCATAGTCTATAATGAGTCCCGTGGTAGTGAATTCATTGGACTCCATTTTGGCATCATGCTGATGGCTTCCCTAATCTGGATGATGTTGTTGTTGTTGTTAAGTGCCATCGAGTCGGGTCCGACCCATAGCGACCCTGTACAGGGTTTCCGAGGGTGTAAATCTTTACGGGAGTAGAAAGCCTCATCTTTCTCCCGCGGAGCGGCTGGTAGTTTCAAACCACTGACCTTAAGGTTTGCAGCCCGATTCGTAACCACTACGCTACCAGAGCTCCCTTAATCTGG